ATCACTTGTTCTACTGAACGCGGCCTATGTATAGCATTTCACTATAGCACACTATAGCATTTCTTGTATTAGAGTGCACCCGGGTAAGGAATCTGAACGCAGCCTTAGATTAATATATTTTTAGGCAACTTTCTGATTAGTTCTACTCCCATCTCCATGATGCGTAACGCAACATCTTAAGCCAGCGGTACACGGTGCTTGTTTTCGTGCTGGATTGCTTGCTGGATGGAAATATTCTGTTCTAGGTCTATATTCTTGAAATTTTTGCGTATATGTAATTTTCGTTGCGCAGCTATTTTATGGTATAATTAAACCTGAGCAGTAAAACTTACATATACGCAACTATTTCAAGAATAAGGGCCCTGATTGGTGCATTTCTGAAGATGGATGAGAATGCACCTATCAAAACAGATTATTTCCACCCAGCAAGCAATTCAGCACGATAACAAGCACCGTGTGCCGCTGGCTTTAGCGACAAAAATTATATTAAATTGATCGATTCTATTAAAAAAAGTATTGATTCCAAAAATCTAGTATTTCAAAGGATCGATTATTTGTGAATCAATTACGAAAAATATAATCGATTCTCATATAATCGATTCAGAATCGGGCAACTCTAGTTTAGATTTTTGGATACTCGAGGTAATAAGCCAGACATATGCTACAAAATTATACACAAAATCGATTTAGCAAATAACCTGAATGTTTGTATCACGCTGGTCTGGGTTCCGGGTCATGTGGTATAGAAGGGAACGAATTAGCGGACACTGGCCAAGTTAGCGGCCTACAATACAGAGTCATCACCTTTGCATAATTATACGGAGGCTAGTGAAATATCTCGGTCGGTACATAAATGGATTATAGGTAAAAACCATGATATGCTGAAGGAAGAATTTACATAGAAGGGGAAAGATTATTGGATACAGACCAGAGAAATCTCTCAGAGGCATTGGTTTTGGAATTACAAAAATACTAGTAGGGACATTATCACACTGATGGCAAGAATACGATCTCACCACATTTGTACAGGCATGCACTTACACAGGAAAAATATGGTGGAAGATCCAGCATGCTCTTGTGGACATCGCATACGCGACATAAATCATATTCTATTCAAGTGTCCTATATTCCGTGAAGAGTCCGACAGACTAATTCTATCATTGTATGAGATGGATATATATTGTGGAGCAGATGTTTTTAAAGCCGCCTTTTATGACAACATTAAACCTTTTAAACACACCTTATGTTCTTACTCTACCAACCAATCAATTTAACCACTTCCTAGTGTAACATCACCACCTTAAGCCAACGACACACAATGCTTGTTTTCATGCTGGATTGCTTGCTGGATAGAAATACTTTGTTCTGATTGGTACATTTCTGAAGACGGACCAATCAGAATAGAGTATTTCCATCCAGCAAGCAATCCAGCACGAAAACAAGCATCGTGTGCCGTTGGCTTTACTGCCTTGGTTGCGTTCCGTTTCACGCATTATGCGCGCATTTCCTACAATATACGTAAGATGAACTGTAGATAAACGCGCACATATGCGTGAAACGGAACGCGGCCCTTGATAATTAGAATGGTGTTGGGGAAAAATCGTAGGATTACCTGGAACCAATATTGAGAGAGAGAGAGAGAGAGAGAGAGAGAGAGAGAGAGAGAGAGAGA